AGATAAAGTTTATAGAAGAAAGCGCTTCCCCAGGTGAGAGCTCGATCTCTACAGCCTCGGCATTACTCAGCAGATACTGCTGTAATACCGCGCCTACACCAATTGCGGCACTGGGGACTTCGGAGAGCGTTTCTGTACGGGAAATATTGTTGAAAACTATAGAAAAAAATCAAGTAACTTTCATACATTACTCATCATATTTTAGAAAAACTGGACGAAAAAAAATGTCTTAGAATGACTAATTAGAAGGAGTATTTACAATGAGTAGAATGGAGTCAAGTTGATCAGAAAAAAGCGTTTCCCAGGTGAGGCTCGAACACACAGCCTGGCATTACTCCGTACTGCTAGAATGTACCGCGCCTAACCATGTGCGCCACTGGGAACTCGGAGGCCTTTTCTGTACGGAAAATGTGTGAAACCGAAAAAAAGTCAATAAATTTGCATACATTACTCGTCAGATTGGAAAACTCTGATCGAAACAAGTGTCTTAAGAATGCTAATTAGAAGAGTTATTGGCCAAGCGAGATAGAAGATCAGTGAGAATCGAAGGCTCTTCCAGGTGAGGCTCGAACTCACGACCTCGGCATTACTCGCAGATACCTGTAGTACCAGCGCGCTAAACCCACTGGGGACACGGAGAGTGTCTTCTTGTGTGAAATATTGAAAATATGAAAAACATCAATAAATTTTGATACATTTAGTCGTATTTTAGAAACTTCGACGAAAAACAAGTGTCTTAAAATTACTAATTGAAGAGTTATTTAAGCCGAGAGAATCGAGATAAGTTATCGAAAGAGGTGCTTCCCCAGGTGAGGCTCAACTCACAGCCTCGGCATTACTCGCAGATACTGCTGTATAAGTACCGCGCGCTAAAATTCGCCACTGGGGACACAGAGAGACCTTTTTGTCAGGAAATGAAATTAGAAAAGAAACATCAATGTACGCATTACTCGTCACTTATTTTAGAAAACTTGAGCGAAAACAAGTGTTTAGATGCTAATTGAAAGTTATTTAAGCCAGGCGAAGTCGAGTCAAGGTGATCAAAGAACGCTTCCCGGGTAGGGGCTCAACCACAGCCTCGAGATACTCAGAAGATGACTGCTGCAGACGCCTTAGTGCGCCTCCTGACTCGGGAAGGCCTTTTCTGTACGGAAATATGTGAAAAAACATTCAATAAATTTGCATAACATTACTCGTCATATTTAGAAAACGAAAACAATGTCTTAAGAATGATAATTAGAAGGATTATTTAAGCTCGATGTGGAATCAGAGACAAGGTTATCGAAAAAGAAGCTTCCCAGGTGAGGCTCGAACTCACAGCCTCGCATTACTCACGATACTGCTGTAAGACCGCGCGCATAACCAATTGCACCACTGGGGACACGGAGAGCGTCCTTTTTTGTGTAGAAATATTGAAAAAAATATGAAAACATTTGGTACTCATTGCTCATATTTAGAAAATTGACGAAAACAAGTGTCTTAAGAATACTATTAGAAGAGTTATTTGCCGAGAGTAGAATCGCAGATAAGGTTATCGAAAAAGAAGCTTCCCCAGGTGAGGCTCGAACTCACAGCCCGGCATTACTGGATACGGCAGTACCCTGCGCAAGCAACCAATTGCGCCACTGGGGCTAGCCACTTTTTTTTGTACGAGAAATATTGAAATCGAAAAAATCAATAAATTTGCATACATTACTCGTCATATTTGAAAACTTGGAAAAAATAAGAGTGATCAAGTATAATTAGAGTTATTTCAAGCCAGTAGAATCAGTCAAGGTTATCGAAAAGAAACGTTCCCAGGTGAGGCGCTCGAAACTCACAGCCTCGGATTACTCGCAGATACTGCTGTATAAGTACCGCGCGCTAACCAATTACGCCATAGGGGAATCGGAGAGCTGTCTTTTTGTGCGAAATATTGAAAATATGAAAAACAGTCAATAAATTTACATACATTGCTCGTCATATTTTAGAAAACTTCGACGAAACAAATTTCTTAAGATGCTACTAATTAGAAGAGTTATTTAAGCCGAGTAGAATCGAGAATAAGGTATCGAAAAAAGTGCTTCCCAGGTGAGGCTCGAACTCAGCCTCAGCATTACTCGATAGATACTGCTGTATAAGTACCGCGCGCTAACCAATTGCGCCTGGGAATCGAAGAGAGCTCTTTTTTCTGTGCGAAATATGAAAATACTGAAAAAAATCAATAAATTTGCATACATTACTCGTCATATTTTAGAAAACTTCGCGAAGAACAAATGTCTTAAGATATGACTAATTGAAGAGTCTTCGAGGTGATTCGGAGTTAGAAAGAACTTTCCAGGAGGTCAACCTATGCTCGCATTACTCGCAGAACTGCTGTATAAGTCACCGCCACGCATTGGGTGGCATGGGACTCAGAGAGCTTTTTCTGTAGGAAATATAAGAAACTACGAAAAAGAGTCAATAATTTGCATTAGGATATCAGTCATATTTTAGAAACTTGGACAGAAGGAACAAATGTCTTAAGAATGATAATTAAGAAGAGTTATTCATGAGAGTGGAATCGAGATATAGGTTATAGAAAAGAAAGCGCTCACCAAGGAGATTCTATACTCGGCTTAAATAACTCTTCTAATTAGTAATCTTAAGACACTTGTTTTTCGTCGAAGTTTTCTAAAATATGACGAGCAATGTATGCAAATTTATTGACTGTTTTTCGTAGTTTTCAATATTTCCGTACAGAAAAAGCGCTCTCCGAGTCCCCAGTGGCGCAATTGGTTAGCGCGCGGTACTTATACAGCAGTATCTGCGAGTAATGCCGAGGCTGTGAGTTCGAGCCTCACCTGGGGAAGCACTTCTTTTTCGATATCCTTATCTCGATTCTATACTCGGCTTAAATAACTCTTCTAATTAGTAATCTTAAGACACTTGTTTTTCGTCGAAGTTTTCTAAAATATGACGAGCAATGTATGCAAATTTATTGACTGTTTTTCATATTTTTCAATATTTCTGCACAAAAAAGACGCTCTCCGTGTCCCCAGTGGCGCAATTGGTTAGCGCGCGGTACTTTTACAGCAGTATCTGCGAGTAATGCCGAGGCTGTGAGTTCGAGCCTCACCTGGGGAAGCGTTTCTTTTTCGATAACCTTGACTCGATTCTACTCTCGGCTTAAATAACTCTTTTAATTATCATTCTTAAGACACTTATTTTCGTCCAAGTTTTCTAAAATACGACGAGTAATGTATGCAAATTTATTGACTGTTTTTCGTAGTTTTCAATATTTCCGTACAGAAAAAGT